AACAAACATTTTTAGAATCAAATTTTTTTAGACATTCATTTGAAGTTTTCTGTAATGTACTATCCTTCTTCCTATCGAGGAATCTCCTAGATAACTTTAAAAAACGTCTTCACTTTCATCTCTACACTTTCCTTTCGGATTATCCTTTTCATGGGTCTTTCTGGAAGGTCACTTAGAGAATTTAGGACATTAAGGAAAATCGTGGTTCGTTTAGTTGAGTCAAAATTGCGCAGTAAAATTTACCAACGCTGAGTTTCGGTGGGAGAAACAATTTGAGAGCGTGGTTGCCATGGTGATGATGTAACAATGGAAAATTAGAATGTGTACTGCATCGATATTTCAACTTTTCGGTAAAGTGGACTTGTGGTACGTGTTTTAACCGAATTACAAAGTTTCAATAATTAATATTTAGAGACTACACGAACCAGTTCATTTTGGGGGACAGTTACGACGACGTGCAGAGATCCTTTGATACCTACAACGTGGTAAAAAAATCTGTTAAAAAATACGGTCAATAAAATTCACATTTTTGGGCAAATTAAAATAACTAACCTAAAAAACATTTGTAATGAGCAATTACAACATACCCTTTTCGACCGCCGCAACCTTGCACCATTCTTCCCATGAATATACCACAACATACAGCAGATTTAATGTGCGAACAGGTCTCTCTTTTGTGGAAGATTTCGGGTTAACAAGTACAATACTAAATTAAACGTTCTTGTCAAGTTGCGTTAGTGTACCATTGTGTTTCTACGCGAAGCGAGCCCAGTTTCGCCAAAGAGAACCGATTTAACATGCAAATCTCTAAGGTTAAATTTACGTGCGTGTATGTGCCTTTTTCTCTATAATAAGGCGACGCAAGGGGATGAACTAAACCGATGGAATTTTTGTTGTGTTCGCAACGGTTTTATTTCAATTAAATGGGGATTAACGTTACGTGTGTTTCTTACGTTTGATGAGCTTCCCGTTTTATTCATTAAAGTATTTTATTTTACAAAGAGCTTTTCCCTTATAAGTATCAAAGTAAAGTACAGAAGATTAGCGTCTCGAAGATGCTGTAACCAATTTTTAATGTAACGAATTTTTCGTATTTGATGTTGCTATTGTCAACATTACTTTATGAATTTTTCAAGGAAAACTTTGTTACGGAGTACAATTAGACGTTTTCACAAAAATAAATCAGCAAAGCTCCATCGCTGGAAGTTTGTCAGAAACCCCTCGTGTAATTGTAGGGTTTTCCATAGCCAAATTAGTTAGACGGTAATATTGAACAAATTTTTCAAAAAGCGTGCTCTCAATAATGATTTTCATTGTAGGAAATCAGAACGACTGTTTAACTTCCATTTTTGGGGATACAAGTTGTTCATTTGCTCCCATGGAAATTGATTTTCATATAAAATCCATTTGAAAACTTCAATCTTATTCATTGAAGTTCTCTAATCTCTGAATTTGAATTTAAATTTTTTCGAAATTTCGTTGTAAAGTTAGACATTTTACAGATTTTCGAAATTTAGAGGGTTATTTTTGCCATGGGTTCAAGGGCCCAAGATTTTTAAACCGTGTTGGAAATTAAGTTTGTCCTTGCTGCGTATTTCAGTTCAAGAGAGCATTGTTTCTTTTTATGGAAACCGGATTCCAAGGCGTCTCGATAGCGAGTATTTAGTACAGTTTCAGTCGTTTTAGTTAGGGGTATTTGGTTACAAGTGCGAAGTCGGCATGATATCACGATCGTGAAACCTGAATTTCGATGGGAAAGTACAACCTCTTTCTTCTCTGCTTTTGTGAATATGACGAAACCATTTGGCGCAATTGGCGGACTTAGTTAGCCGATTAGACTTCCCAATCAAAAGTTATAGACCAGAAACAATTTCTAAAAAAAATTCAAAGGGCTGTAACTTTTGAACTAGTAGCCCAATCTTGGAACTGTTTGAAATTATGGATTCTACAGGCCACATTCTATAAGAAAATTTTTTTTCCGGGCCGATCTGAGACAATTTTTATTTCGGGGCTCAAAAAAAGGCAGTGTATAACCTTCCTTTTTTACCAAAAATCGACTACACCAAAATTTCTCGGGAAAACACTTTTTCTTATTAATTTGTGTGCGTAGAATCCAAATCAATTCGTACTTTTTCGATCAGACTTCTCAATCAAAAGTTATAGACTAGAAACCAATTTGAAAAAAAAATTCAAAGGGCTGTAACTTTTGAACTAGTAGCCCAATCTTGGAACTGTTTGAAATTATGGATTCTACAGGCCACATTCTATAAGAAAATTTTTTTTTCGGGTCGATCTGAGACAATTTTTTCCTCGGGCCTCAAAAAAAGGCAGTGTAAACACTTCCTTTTTTTACCAAAAATCGACTGCACCAAAATTTCTCGGGAAAACACTTTTTCTTATTAATTTTGGTGCGTAGAATCCAAAACAATTTGTACTTTTTCGATCAGACTTCTCAATCAAAAGTTATAGACTAGAAACCAATTTCGAAAGAAAATTCAAAGGGCTGTAACTCTTGAACTAGTAGCCCAATCTTGGAACTGTTTGAAATTATGGATTCTACAGGCCACATTCTATAAGAAAAATTTTTTTCCGGGTCGATCTGAGACAATTTTTTGAGGGCCTCAAAAAAAGGCAGTGTACAACCTTCCTTTTTTACCAAAAATCGACTGCACCAAAATTTCTCGAGAAAACACTTTTTCTTATTAATTTTGGTGCGTAGAATCCAAAACAATTCGTACTTTTTCGATCAGACTTCTCATTCAAAAGTTATAGACTAGAAACCAATTTCGAAAAAAAATTCAAAGGGCTGTAACTTTTGAACTAGTAGCCCAATCTTGGTACTGTTTGAAATTATGGATTCTACAGGCCACATTCTATAAGAAAATTTTTTTCCGGGTCGATCTGAGACAATTTTTTTTGCGGGCCTCAAAAAAGGCAGTGTATAACCTTCCTTTTTTACCAAAAATCGACTACACCAAAATTTCTCGGGAAAACACTTTCTTATTAAATTTGGTGCGTAGAATCCAAAACAATTCGTACTTTTTCGATCAGACTTCTCAATCAAAAGTTATAGACTAGAAACCAATTTCGAAAGAAAATTTAAAGGGCTGTAACTTTTGAACTAGTAGCCAATCTTGGAACTGTTTGAAATTATGGATTCTACAGGCCACATTCTATAAGAAAATTTTTTTTCCGGGTCGATCTGAGACAATTTTTTGTTCGGGGCTCAAAAAAAGGCAGTGTATAACCTTCCTTTTTTACCAAAAATCGACTGCACCAAAATTTCTCGGGAAAACACTGTTTCTTATTCATTTTGGTGCGTAGGATCCAAAACAATTCGTACTTTTTCGATCGGACTTTTCAATCAAAAGTAATGGATTAGAAACCAATTTCGAAAAAAAATTCAAAGGTCTGTAACTTTTGAACTAGTAGCCCAATCTTGGAACTGTTTGAAATTATGGATTCTACAGGTCACATTCTATAAGAAAATTTTTTTTCCGGGTCGATCTGAGACAATTTTTTTGCGGGCCTCAAAAAAGGCAGTGTATAACCTTCCTTTTTTACCAAAAATCGACTCCACCAAAATTTCTCGGGAAAACACTTTTTCTTATTAATTTTGGTGCGTAGAATCCAAAACAATTCGTACTTTTTCGATCAGACTTCTCAATCCAAAGTTATAGACTAGAACCAAATTTCGTAAGAAAATTCAAAGGGCTGTAACTTTTGAACTAGTAGCCCAATCTTGGAACTGTTTGAAATTATGGATTCTACAGGCCACATTCTATAAGAAAATTTTTTTTCCAGGTCGATCTGAGACAATTTTTTTTTTCGGGGCTCAAAAAAAGGCAGTGTATAACCTTCCTTTTTTACCAAAAATCGACTGCACCAAAATTTCTCGGGAAAACACTTTTTCTTATTAATTTTGGTGCGTAGAATCCAAAACAATTCGTACTTTTTCGATCGGACTTCTCAATCAAAAGTTATGGACTAGAAACCAATTTCGAAAGAAAATTCAAAGGGCTGTAACTTTTGAACTAGTAGCCCAATCTTGGAACTGTTTGAAATTATGGATTCTACAGGCCACATTCTATAAGAAAATTTTTTTTCCGGGTCGATCTGAGACAATTTTTTTTTCGGGGCTCAAAAAAAGGCACCTTCCTTTTTTACCAAAAATCGACTGCACCAAAATTTCTCGGGAAAACACTTTTTCTTATTAATTTTGGTGCGTAGGATCCAAAACAATTCGTACTTTTTCGAAAGAAAATCAAAGTAACTTTTCTAGTAGCCAAATCTTGGAACAATTCTAAGGCCACATTCTATAAGAAAAATTCGGGTCGAAGACAATTTTTTTGCGGGCCTCAAAAAAAGGCAGTGTATAACCTTCCTTTTTTACCAAAAATCGCACCAAAATTTCTCGGGAAAACACTTTTTCTTATTAATTTTGGTGCTTAGAATCCAAAACAATTCGTACTTTTTCGATCGGACTTCTCAATCAAAAGTTATGGACTAGAAACCAATTTTGAAAGTATTCAAATACTTTTTGAAAGTATTCTGCCCAGCTCTGTCAGGGAGTGAGCCCGAGGCCTAGTCTCTGGCTTTTGGAACCGTGTTGCGAGGGGACTCGGGTATATTTATATACTAGCGATATGTAAGGGTTGTAGGAGGTGACCAGGTATAATAAAGATCGTAGCAGTTTAAAAATTCAGATGGTACAGCGTAGATGATTGAATTTTATTATGACTTGGTTTTGAGTTGTAGATTCTTCAAACCAAGTCGCTTCTCGGCAATCAGAGCAACGTTAGGGTGGTTTCTTACCCAGTTTAAAGTCCAGCTCTCCTTGTTTGGCTTTTACATGAAACATTTTGATTTCTTAATTTATTTGGAAAAAATATTTGTTTTGATTTTAAATTTAATGAAATTTACATTGCGATAAAATCATATTTTTTTATTATTTTCGATGTTACTCATATTAATTTACTAATTGTAATTTTTCTTTTCAGGTGACGACCTTTACTACTCTACATGACGCAGTAATTATTATTGAAAGAAAAGGTACGTACCTCTGCTCTATTTGAGCACCTTATTGAGGCTTACAGATTATAAGGTGGTTGAATCCATTAGTGTTCTTGTTAAAAGTCATCTACAAACGTTATACCACGGAGGACGAGAAAATGCTACCCTTAAATCCTACCCACAGCCATCTGAATTCAAAAGGGCGCTCTCTGCCAATAATCTGTTATCAGATAAAACACACAAAAAAGTAAGAGGTAGCGATAGCGCGGCATATAAATGCGAGAAAAATCTAACGTTTGTCCCGTCGGGTAACTCGAATAGTGAAAATTCGTAAGTAACTTTCAATAGAACGCAATAATTCAATTTAGGTTAAGGAGCAGTTCCGTTCAAAAAATTGGGTTTTTGTAGACTTCCATTTAGAAATTTTCATAGTGTCCTGAGAAATAGTCGGAAATAGCATACCTCCACCAAAAGATTGGTGCCCTTTTTTATTCCTTTCATCTGAAAAAAAAAAGGAAGGATGAAACGCAAATTTATAATAAATTACAAAGAACTAATTGTATGTAAAAAGGGCGCTCTAGTTCTGCTTTAGGTACCAACCTCTAGAACGAAAAGAAGACATATTCTCTTTAAAAATGCTTAAGGGCTGTTTTCTTCCTCGTTTCTTAACGCCGTAAATTATGCACACGAGCCTTCCATGCGGGGACATAATTTTAAAAATCGATTATTACAGCTCCCGCAAATAACATAGAGGGCTGCGAATACTGATAACGGCACAGAATCCGTGCTAAGAAAGGAATTTAATCTTGTTTCCTTCGTATGACTGAAATTTGTAATTCACCCCGCAATATTGCGGAGGATCAACCCGGCGTAATTACGTTAACCAAGGTATAAGTGACGAAGTTTCGATTGGCTGCCTTTTAATTACTCGGAAAAATTACCCTCGCGTGGAATTTTCCGTTTTAACGCGATGCGTTTCGTTGCTCCGAATTTCGCCCGACGTTTCGAGGTTTTACCCGGAAAACTCTTTCATAATTCGGATAATAAATTAATCCTTGGCGTTCGCACATACTCGAGCGGTTAGCGCCAAAGTTTTAAAAGCTTTTAACACGTAAAATGTCAAAAGCTGGCGAACTTCACGTGACGAAGAGGATTTCGAGTGCAGATAATTACGGCCGCGTTTCCGTAAGGGGAAAAGAATTAAATTGCGATAACTTCGTTATGAACCTTACGATTTTATACAACTTATTCAATTTTTAGGCGTCGAAGCTGTAATTAGTGTACAATACATTCAATAATCTATGGCAATAGTAGCACAATTACATACAAAACGAAATAGAGGAAAAGAGGAATCAAAAGTCACTCAAAGGGGTTGGTCGCTCCAGAAAACTTCAATTTCATATATCTCTTCTTCTAAGATTCTTTAAAAATCTTGAAGAATTTCTTTACAAATCTTTCAGATCATTCTCAACATATTTTTAGACATCTAGAGAGATTCTTCAATTTTTAATGGACTTTTCTTAATAGAATTTCATTCACTAAAAATTGACGGTGGGTTGTTATTTCTAAAAACTTTTGTCTTGATCACTAGCAAGATTGCTACTAGTTCTCCTACGGCTCTACCCGTAATGCCTTCAAAAACTTCTTTGGATTAATCCCTACCGATACTTTTTTAATTAATTTGTGCTTTTCAAGATGGCGTCTAGTAATTAAGTGAACTATCTTTCTTTAAGAGCCAATGGTAATCGCTGCACCCCCCGAAAAACAAGCTAGTTATGCTATTCCTTTAACACCCACGCACTGAATCTTTCACATAATTGCATTCGTACAAAGTACGTCTCCGTAATTTTATGTCAGCTATTCCTTTCACAAACAAACTTAAACTAACATTTTTATTTAAGAAACAACGTGCTTTGATTTTGAATAACGACAATGAATCGAAAGGGGCGCAATAAAAAGCGTTATGGGACGGTGGCCGGAAATTAAAAAAAAAATGTACACGACGAAACGAAAGGGAGAGGAACTTGGGCTATTGTTTTCTAAAATAATTAACAAAGCGTTAATGAAAATTGACAGTATGACAAGTACCTGGTTCGTGCTGAATTAAATTTAATTACTAACTAAACTAAAATGAAAAAGCGGGTTTGCTTATTCAGGAAATGGCGGTTCTGATTGAGATTTAAAATTTCGTTCGGGGAGAATTGAGGACTTTAAATCGTTTGTGAATAGCTTTCATTCCCAAAAATGTCAAATCTTAGGGTACATGTAAAGTTTCTTTTCAAAAAATTTAAAATTGCAAAGCGAGCTACTGTCCTTTAAGAAGTTATCTAAAGAGAGTTTTAAGGTTGCTAGTAAGAGGTCCAACTTGCTGTAATGCTAGCAATTTCATCTTCACAACTGATCTAGCACTTTGTCCGAGTTTTTCCGTCTTCTCGTTCTCTATTTGCACAACAGGAAAAACTTCCATCGTCCAAAGTGGAGCAAAATCTGTACTGTCCCTAATTTTCACAGTTGAACTAAATTTTGTACTTCTCACGTCTTGGTCACCATTTAGGTATTTGCTGTGAAACTACCGCGAAGAGTTCTTTTAAATTATTATCAACACGATAATATAGAAAATGAACTAACCGCTGTACCGTGTGTCTTGGTTGAGACTGTAGTATATCACAGCTGTTTTTAAAGAGAGACTTGCTTTTTCGCACCCTGTATCACAAACAGAATCAATCTAGATACTTTTGTTTCTGAGATATAGGGTGAAAGTTTTACTTTTTTGGAACGTTATCATACCTTATTACCCATGCAAGATTGAAGAAAAGGTAAAAACTGCCTATTTCAGGTATTTTTACGTAGTAAAAAAAATTGTTGGACCATCGTTTCTCAGATTTGACCCAATGTTGGTATTTTTTAAATATAACACCCGTCAAGAATATTTTTTTCAGTTCTAGTAATGGACCAAAAATAAAAACGTTATTTTTAGGGTTTTTAAATAGTAGGCCATGGATTTATGGAGATTTTGTTTTGTTTATTGTATCTATGGTAACTATAATATAATATATAATTATATACAAAATATATAGGTTGTGATACATCAATGTAATCAGAAAAAAGAATGCAAAAAATTGGCGTTATAATATATAGGGTGTTACATTCAAAAATATCAACTTTGGGTCAGATCTCAGAACGCATGGTAAAAAAAATTGAAGGAAAAAATGGCAACAATGGAAAGAAAAAGTCTACTACTCACGTTACTAAACAAAGGAGCTGCAGAAATGTCAACCCCGAACCTCGCTGGATCTACCCCCCCCCCCTCCCCCTTGCCAATAAATTTATGAATTGCATCCAATGCATGAGTTATTTAGGAGCTTTTCTTATCGTTAGCATAACATTTGAGAGCTTGTTTAAATCACTAGGAATCTAAGATTTATTATAGTGTGGCGATTCTACCCCCCCCCCCTTATCCCCGGTCGGAATTACCCTTTTCAAATAAACTTTTGTGCTGGAAATCCAAGCTATTAAGAGCTTTCATTTGGAAGTAATTGCAATTTATATAGTCAATCTCAAAAGAGCAAATAGACAAGTATAATCCTTTCGAAGGCCAGATCCATGATCATAATCTATTTTTGGCGCATACACGAATTTACCGTGAAAAAACCACATTTTTCGAACACGTCTCCAATTGATTTTATTATTAAAATTATTTTTTATGGGACGCAGTGTATTGTTGTGTAAACACGTCACGCGGACGTTTTCTTTGGCATCAGCACCTTTAATAACGGTGAATTTCGATCATATCATGTGAATTTGAAGTCAATGTTGATATTTTTAGAATTGTGTATGCAATGATGTTTGATTTTTGTTTAAATGATTGCTTTGTTTATTTTAATTTGTAACTATAAAGTTGAATTACGTGTTGAAAGATCAAGTTTATTCGTTTGGACATAATTGCGTGTTGTTATTGTAAAGGTTTATCGCCGGTCAGTGCGATAAGAATTCGTCATCGCTGCTTAAAGGTAATTAATTTCAAGATAAGCAGATGTTTTTTTTCGCCGAAGAAAATACAGGTGTTCATTTATTCAAAGACGCGACGTTAAGTCCAAATTAGCAACGTTAATAGAGTCACGTAAGCCGGTCGTTGACCAATTTTGGCTATAGAAATCTGTCGCCATCTGAAACATTGAAGTTTAAGTGAAGAGAATTTTAATATAATTTTCCACGTGTTCACATTAGTAGGTTATTGCTTCAAGTTCTCCAACTGATTCGTATCGCACCTGTATCAACCATCTATCAGTTAGAAACTGAGTAGTTGTCTACAAAGGAGTTGAATAGATTCGGATACCATTCATGACTTAATTTTCCCCGTAATTTTCCGATATCCCAAGCGAACTTTGATAGTCAAAATTTTTGTCGATATTATTACATCGCCTGACACTTCCATTAGTTTCGGAGGGGTCGTTTCTATTACAATTCGCCAAAGTTAGAAACTTCGAGTGATCCCTTAGATCTGTATAAAAAGCCTATTAATTAATCATCAAGTTTATAGACATTATCGAGATGAAAACGTCTTTGAAACTAATTATTACAGAAGCCGAGAAGTTGGCGGGATCTTTAATAATGGCGCCCGTCTTATTAACGTTGAAGATTTTATGCGACCAATTAACGCGACGGTAATTATAAGAAAGGTTTTAATGGAGGAATAAATCATTGATCAACAGTCGGACCTAATTAATTTGTACATTGTGTTCGTTCGGCCTTTGCATTTTAATTGATTTGGTTCTCAAAGTAACGATTCGAATAATTAAAAGTGACGCAAAGTCAACCATATCCTTGGTGCTGGATATTGGGCAGTAAATTTGTCAAAGGTCTAGTTTTTAAAATATCTGCAACTACTTTTTGCTTAAAGAAGTTGTGCGAGAAAATCTCCCTTCGCTCAGAAATGTTGATAAAAGAAGAAGACAATGAATTTGTTGTTTCTCACTTGGTATAAAAAAGCGCGTGCACAATTGAATAAATCAATGCATCGCTAAATAAAAAAAGAGCGG